TTGTAGAAGTCTGTGCCAGCAGCCCGTTATTTGCTATGCGATGAGGTTTAGCGAACTCGTCGCTTTCTTCTAATCACTCTTGCTTACTTAAAAGTTTTTTTTCTTCTATTCTGACTACGAAATGATGGAAGCGAACTATAATCAAAGTGCTGTATTTTCATTACTGCAGAACGGTACGCCCAAAAATCCTACATTCTGGATCGTTGGGCAATCCCTGAGGGATGCGCCATGCATTCGATTTCATTCAGCATCATTTGGAAGTAACTGAATGCATATCTGGCCTTCACAATAACTCGCGGTGGCCTACCGATGTGTCGAGCCAATGCCGCTATCCTCCCAGACAGGTCTGGTAACAATTTGCCGACCCCGGAGGGATGGAAGGCTTAGTGAGCCTTGGGCGCGGGGATCGATCCCATGTGTACTGTAGGATGTCTGCGACCGTCTACAACTGCACCACACGCACATTTGGTTACTAATAACGTACGTTTATCTCAGCATCGTTGTGTTTGTATTTCACGCAATACCCTGCTTTGAAAAATTCTAGTAGGCAGCAAATAAAAGTAAAATACCGTGAATAACGACATGGTTGTTTAATTTACATAGTTTCAGTAACGAAATATTGTGATGCTTTCAGTAGATATTCACCAAACACATTTGAACATATGTACAACACTAGAAAAGAACCACTTGGATAGGCTACTACTCAGAGCAGTTGTAATTAAAGACTCTCACAAAGCTTTAATTACTTTTCTGTAACATGTTGTAATGAAAAGCAACGATCAAAAAGAAAGAAACTATCAGAGTGCTCCATACCTCCACCACTACGAGATTTTTCGATCTTATCTCGTGTATTCAAGAAAAGCGCAAAAGCATCAGCGCCTTGGTGGCCTGACAAGTGGACCAAAATAACTTCTGCATCCACAGAATTTTTCACATTGGAATGGTTTTATAGCTATTTAGAAGCATATAAACGATGTATTTCTTTCTGTGAAAATTAAAAGTGCATAGAGGTAATAAATAGATCTAAGCATCTCTTAAGAAGGGCGCGTGTGGTGCAGTGGTCGGAGGCGCCCTTCAACACACGCGTGGAACCGATCCCCATGCCTATGACCCACCAAGCCTTCGGTCCTCCCGGAGTCGGCAAATTGGTACCAGACTTGTCTAAAAGAATAGCAGCACTGGTTCGATACATCGATAGGCTATCGTGAGTTATTGTGAGGGCCAAATATGCGTTCAGTTCCCTTCAAATGATGCTGAATGAAGTCGAATGCATGGCGCATCACTCGGATTGACCAACGCCGAGAGCTTTATGCTTTTTATCCTTAAGCGTCTCTTAATAACTCAAAAAAGCGACTTTCTATAAAACTCGGCATAAATGATCGACATATATATATATATATATATATATATATATATTCTTACGAACTACCTTGTTGAGGTGATGCGAGGTGCGAGTCAGAACTTTTATGAGCCTCATGTTAGGGTAATATTTGAGGAAGCCATGAACTAGTTTGTAATTTATTGCCTTTCAACCATTATTGTAAAATGTACTAAGACTACAGAACAGTTGGTCATTAAGAAAACCGTGAAAAAGACAGAGAAATACCCTTCAAACTCCACACAAAACCCATAAGGAAAGCCGGTAACAAAATGATTAGATAGTGGACGAGTTCTTTTTTTCGTTACATAAGTTATATTTTTTTAAATTTAAATGACCCGTCTTCACGTCTACGGCGCGGATCCCAGCACTTCTCACATTCGATTTGTTTCCTCGCGCCTACCATTTACGAAGACCTTCAAACTTTTACGTGTGGCTTTAGCTACTGCTTGAGGATTTTCATTTCATCTTGAATGTCGTAGAATGCTGGTCGAGCACTTCTTCCTGAAGACCTGAGATAGTCGGGCTGGAGCATTATCGATTGGATTGCAGACTCATTTTTCTCTGAACAAGTCCGGTGCCAGTTTCCCGACCGCGTATGGATGAAAGGCTTGGTTCGCCCAGAGTGGAATCGAATCGAATATCGTGCTCGTGATGATCGGCATCACTACCATTGTGGTACCTTCCCTAACAGTTATATATGGTTCAAGTATATGTAACCATCACACGTCGTGTGTAGATTATGTACTCTGACTGCTCTTTCCATGAAGTCAAAACATTTGTCCATCTCCTCTTTTGTGGAGCAGATGGCAAACTGGTCATCTGTCACAATGCTTCTTTATAATGGGTCGATGCCCATACACCATGAGTTCTTTGCTTTGTTTTAATACCGTTTGTAGTTAGAAAACAGGAATGAAGTAGCATAACTATAACTTTCTCTTGAACTTTAAGACGTTGCATTAAAAACATTTATTTTATAAACTACAATTTGTAGTTCATGCGTACGATTTGCACATTCTACATTTCATCTACACGAACAGATCAACTTGTTCTCGACGAAGCTTTTCCCTTTCTTCAAAAAAGAAGAATAAAAGGTCAGCAGCCGAGAATCTCTTCAGTTCCGAATATAAAGCAAGTAGCCGTCTATCTTGAAGTCATTTAACGAGGCTTTTTGTTTAGAAGCACATATGCACTAGGGCCATTAAGTTTTTACTATAGCATTGTTCGTAATTTTTTCGTATACTAATTTTTCAAAAAGAAAATTTAAAGAGAAATATAACCTCAGAAGTCCCAGTGACGATGTCGACTGACGAAGGCAAAACGCAGTACTGGCGTTGTGTTCTCAACCCGCCCTGCGTATGCCAAACCACCAAGACCCTCATCTCCGACAGCGCTTGCATGAATCTCAGTGCGCTCATCGAATTTTCGGAAAAGGCAAGCTAGATGGTAAGTAAAGTTGAACGAGTAGCTCATATTGTCGTCTATCCTGCCATATTCGGCTAGTAGTCAATAAGGAAGCTAGCAGTGAATACCACCGTTCTATGAGAAATGGTCACTCATATGGGTGACATCTAAGAGGCTGGCAATTCTACAGCTTCCATATGATTAAATACGTTGCTTGTTCATCTCTGTAATAATCTAGAAATTATTGCAGCAACATCATTGTTTCTTATTCACCATGTAGTTGAATTTCTGTAAGCGACGGTTATTTATCTTGGTTCTCATCCTGAAAACCTCTGACACTAAGCACTGAACTTCTTTGAAAATTCCTTTTATCGCGTTTCACGAAATAAAAACAAGGATGGCACTACTTCTCCTTCCAAGGTTTGTTTTACTTTTTAATAAATTAACCTATGGTAACACAGAGGAATCGATCCCCTCGTCCATGGCCCACCAAGCCTTCCATTCCTCCGAAGTCGGCAAATTGGTACCAGATTTGTGTAGGAAGATAGCAGCGCTGACTCGATACCTCAAGTCATTGCAAGGACCAGATATGCATTCAATTACCTCCGATCGATACGTGATTAAGTCGAATGCATGGCGCAATCCCTCAGGGATTGATCAACGCTCAGAACTTTTTTTCCACAGAGGTTAGCGGTTTGGCTAACTGGCCGGGAGAAAGAAAGAAAGCTTTGCAAGTATCTCAGTATCACAGTGGTTGTATTTCACAGAGGATAGTCACTTCAACATTCCCAAGAACTTCGACTGGTTATTTCTTGCCCATCCCAATTCTAAAGCGTTGATAAATAGCTTTCATTTTCAATTTTTTCCATGTGTGGAAACTGTCCGAATGTTCCTAATTCGTCTAAAGTGTCGTCACTCAAAAATCATGTAGTTGTTTCAGCCCGTGCATAAGGCAAGAATCCAGGAGGTAGTAATAATCGTGTGGGAAATATGTGGGCAAACAAATGTGCAGCGCTTGCTGTGTGATGATGAGTGATCGAACTGATCGTAATATAACATGCAAAAGGGAAGAAAACATCTTACGGTGGATAGAAGAACCACTCTCTGCGAGAGCATGCTGTTCTTCCATCATAGTGTTCACAAATAAGAAAAACGAGAAGCGACTGACGATTCATATGCCCGCTGAAATAGCTGTAGTTCAGCGTAAGGGTGCACACCAAAATTCTGAGATACCATCCCCAATGGTGAGAGCTTGAAGATAAAGCTGTTAGAGAGCCTATAAAGCAACTCAAACCCATGTTTACACACCCTATGTAGATCTCTCGTGCATCATATGCGGTTACCTGGCGTGGGTTTTCTCTTCAGGTATCATCTCCGTCTTTCTATGGATCTTTGTTTTTAGAACATGACTTCCAAGTGTAATGAAAAAAGCTCTGCACCAGTTAAACCGTGTTGTCAGCGCCTAGTAATAGATTTCATACTACATGTTGAGTGCTACTCGAAATCTCTGTATTTCTGTATACCCATGATTATCAGCCGTTTCTGGGTCCAGTGGAACTGAGGACCTGTACTGCACTGTACACTATGCTGGTTTACAATAATGACCTCCTATTCTTATGTCTGAGTATCTCAGTACTCTTCTCGTCAGCAACACTGGTGTAACACCTATACAGTACTGGACAAGCAACCGCATTTCTTGGAATGGAATTGCAGATCCTATAGCTGCAATACCATTGAACTTGTACAATTTTCATATCATCGGAATTTCACACACATTATCTACACTTTAATTACTTTGTCACATACTATTCATGACATTGAGAGGAAGAAGAAAAATGAGCGCTTCCTCAATAGAAGATAGGTATTACGAACGTATAGCTACAAATCCACACGAACGCAATATCCAAACAAACATCAATTATTCTAATTTCTGAAGAATACCGGTTAGTCTCAGAACATGAAGGAATCTCAGACCCATGAAAAAACCGGTAGTCACTTGGAACTATTGGAGAAGTAATAAATTAATTGAACCTTAAGGTAAAAATGCGTAAAAACTAAACAATGGATATAAGCTGCTTAGAAAATCTCGTTAATCATGAACACAATAAAGAGTCTATAATTTCGCTGTGCCTCTGCGTCTTTTGTGTGTTCCTGTTCTCCATTATTAACCCTTAAAGTACCAAGGTTCGATATTCGGTGGTGACAAGATTGTTCAATTTCAGGACAACTCGAAACCAGCACCGGCGTTTATCGCATATCTAAACGAACAATATGACATTTAAGTTTGCATACAACTACGTATTACCTCAATTTTTCCTCTAATTTGGCACGTGAACTATAGATTGGAAGTTTGAAAAGGTTCATACAAGTAGCACTTGTTGGTAAATGATTCGAATCATGCACCTGAAATTGTGAATTCATGTTATGCTGAAAGAACAAAGTGAAGTCCACAAACCGCCTTCACCAAAAAAGGCTACCTAGTCCGAAATTGAATTGAACGGTGTAACAGTGCTACGAAAACATTATTCATATTACACAGATCAAACATAGTTGGTCAATAGTCAATGCAAAATGATTTCAAGAATTTACAATCCTCCTCGTTTCTAACAAGTCATAATAAATTACCAGTTGAATACCCAACGCTGGATACAACATTTTGAAGCCTTCGATTGGTGGACGTGAACAGCCAGTGATAAATCTGAAGTAGATGAATTTCCAATTAATTGTGTTCATGCTTGAAGCGAAAAACGAACGAAAAATGCAGCTCGGTTTTACTTTCAGAGTCAAAATCGTACGTTTAGTAACACTGTAAACCAAAAACTTCAACTGTACAGTAAAAAATCCTGAATACCAGCCATCACGTTTCCGCTTATTTCACTCACTTTAGCAATCCGCGTTTATCTTCTGGTGACATCTCACCTACAACGCTCCAAAAAAGATCCATATACTCACGATCGGCTTCATCTGAAAATATTGTAAAACCTGAGAAAAAATAGCTGGGTTTTTCAATCAATCAATGGAACAAATTTTTAAAGTCTCAGGTAAAAAATACTGGAATATACAAGTTCAAACCATGACTACTATGTTTTAAACTGTTAAATGATGTTACAGGCAGACCGACCTTTTATGTTGTGCACTGCACAGTGCTTCATCATGTCCTCGACATCAAGATCAGCGTCAGCGCCGCTGACCAGGGTCTGCAATTCTGATGGCGAGAACATCGCCAACCATCCGGGATCAATCACAGTTGACACTCCAGCACGCATTGCATCCACCAAGGGCTCGATCTAAAATGCCGCTTTTATGAGATAAATTGCTAGTGTCTTCAAAGTTATGCATGAATTGACACTAAATAGATTTTGCCTCTAATTTTTCATCACCTGTATCACCTGTCACCTGTAGTCCCGTTGATCGTCGAGTGACTCGAGAAGGTACCAACAAATCTTCCATTTTTCCCTGTCGCATGCAAGAGTAGCCCAGTGGGTTCTGCTCGCTCTAGGGACTCGTCGAGCATCATATCTTTCTTCACGGCTCTTTGTGAAAAACTCTGACCATCGGGTTGGTGGTCTTCCTGCAGTACGTTTGACATCCCGAGGAACCTAGTCACTAACGGCTCTTGTCCATCGGTTGTCATTCATACCCATTGCGTGTCCAGTCCACCTTATCTTCGACTGTTTGGCGTACAGAACGACATCTTTGATTTTTGATCGTTGACGCCGATCGGGGCTCCGGATCCCATCCCTTGCTTGTGTGGAATAGGATACTCCTAGCATCGTCCTTTCGACTGCGCGTTCGATAACGCTGAGTGACCTCTCATCCTGTTTACGCAGCGACCAGGTTTCTGACGCATACGTTAGAGCAGGAAGTACCGTTGAGTCGAAAAGGTAGGCACGCAGTCGGGTGTTCTTTGCTCCCTTCACTACATCACTCCTTCCTCGATGCTCTTTAAAGCTCCCCAACTGCTCGTTTCCTTCTGCTCAACTCTGGAGCTAGGTCGTTCATTATATTGATTTCCCGACCTAGACAGATATAACTGGAGCATTCGGAGATACTCGTTCCGTTCGACGTGAATGGGGCATGCGAAACCAATCCGTTCTTCATGAACATCGTTTCTGTGAGATTTAGTCGAAGATCAATCTTTCCACATGCTTTATCAAAGTCGTCAAGCATACGTTCCGCTTGGCTAATGTTTGGTGTTATAAGGACGATGTAATCAGCAAAGCGAAGATGGTGTATTTGCCGACCACCGAGTTTCACTCCCATTTTATGGCATTTCAATGTTAGCACGACATTCTGGAGGGTGGCGGTAAATAATTTTAGCGAGATGGTATCGCCTTGCCTAACTCCTCTTTTGACGTCAATTATTAATATCGTTGCAGAATGGTGATACCTTGGTTGCGAAATTTCGGTGCAGCTCATGAAGAACCTTTATGTACTGAGTAGGAACTCCATGACTATCAAGGGCTTCCAAGACTGCTTCTATCTGAACTGAATCAAAGGCCTTCTGTAAATCGATGAAAGTGAAACAGAGAGGTCTTTTGTACTCTCGCGATACTTCAATGAACCTTGTTACCGTGTGGATGTGGTCCATCGTAAGAAATCATTTTCGAAACCCTGTTTGCTCACATGGCTGTCCTTCGTCTAATGTTCTGTCAATCCTATTTAGTATGACTTGAGTGAAATGTTTGTAGACGACAGACAGTAAGCAGATCAGGAGAAAGTTGCCGATATTGTGCAGGTCACCCTTCATGAACAATAACACGGTCTTCCTGGTCTTCCACTGAGTATGAACTTTACATTCAGACAGGTAACGTGTGATGACCGAGCCAGTATGTTTACGAAGACTGGCAGATTGTTCTTCAGGTATTCTGATCTTATTCTGTCCGGACCTGGTGCTGTTCGATTTTTCACCTACGAAATAGCATGTCGGATTTCGGAAGGGAAAACCGGTGGTGCAACATATCCATCCTCCTTCATTTCATATAACGGAAGGTGGACGTGGCTATCGAAGAGATCCGAGTAGTATTCGTGAATGGTTTTCTCCATTACCTTTGTGGACGCTGTAACTGTTACGTCTGGACGCCGGAGAGCAATCACTTTGGTCTTGTAATCGGCTAAGCTTCGGTGGGCTTTGCGAATGCTCTTCCCATCCTCTGGAGCTTCGACCATACTGCTGCTCCTCTCTCTTTAAGATCTTTTATTGCCTGTCTGCATTGTTTTGCAAGTTCGGGCGTTAGTTCTAGGTTGCCTGCAGCTCGTGCGATTCCACGCTGGCGTATCAGCTCGAGTGTTTCTGGAGACAAACGTCTCTTTGTGACTTTGAACTCTCAGCATTCATAGCGCTAACGTGAAGATTTTGAATGAGCCGATCGCATTTTTCGTCGATTTTATCGACAACGGCATCTTCCCAACAGCCAACTAATAAATTGAATAGGTCCCAGTTTGCGATGGTTCTGGGGCTTCGGTTTTGGAATTTAGCGGCTTTTTCTCGTTTCCGCGAGAAATAGAATCTTGCACGAAGCAGACGATGGCGTGATCCCGTGCAGAGTTTTGGGACAACAGCGACATCGGTTAGACAAAACCTATTTACTATGATGTGGTTTATTTCGTTATGGTACTCTCCATTAAGAGACTCCCACGTCCAGCGCTGAGAGTTGGGCTTCTGGAATTGCGAGTTACCATGGAATGTCTTGGTCGCCATGGTAAACTCAGACAGCCGCTCACCCTGTTCGTTCCATTCTAATCCGTGGGTCCCAATGTGACGTTCTTCTTGGTTCAATCTTGGCGTTGAAATCTCCAATAATGACCTTGAAAAATGTGCGGTCTTCTCTGTAGAACTTAGAACCAAGTCCATATAGAACGCTTCGACTTCTTCTTCGTCGTAGTTTGATGTATGCGCGTTAACGACGAAGATTGTCAAAGCCGGAATACTGGCTTTGACAATCTTCGGCCAATTTTTCATAATACATTAAAGGTTCTTAGGATTTTTGACCAAACCCTTGTTAGATCAAGAACTATGTACATCGACAGCCCATGTATGACCTTTAAGATAGTAATGAGGTGTTTAAGAAACAAACCCGTTTGTATAAGAACAGGTTCACATACGAACGAATATACTCTAGTCGATTATCAATAGTAACACGAATACCACGTCCACCAGGTATAAGGTCAACAGTCTGGAAACGATATCTACACTGATCTTCCTGATTAAAAACATGCTTTTTTCCAGTTCGTAACGATAAAACAATAATAAAGTACGTTTGTATGGATGCTTTTCATAATCTTCCTATTACCTGTACATCGCCTACATCATCAATGATCACGCTGAAGTCAAGTTCCAATGCTGCTAGTTCATCAGCGGTTAGACTGCGCAGATTTTTTAGATGTCTGAACAAAGTGAGATGAGAAAACGACAAAAAGAAATGCATAATGAAATTGTTGCAAGAATTACATTGATAACACACGATAAAAACTGAAGAAGAACAAGAAATGTTGAAAAAGCAACTACCATCTATAATAGTCATGTATTTTAGACAAACCCGAAGAATATAACATTCAAACCACATTTAAAACACCATTAACAAACTTGTATATGGCAGGATCAAATGATTTCAAATGGTGCAGGTCGACATCTGCCTGCCGCCTTCCTAGCAACTGCGACACGAAAAACTCAGCAAACCGAATTTCAGCCATTTGTTTTTCATAGATTAACTACAAAATCAAATAAAAACATGAATAAGCGACGACTTAAAAAGAGTTACAAAGAAGTGAGTTCTTTAAGGCTAGAAATTGCAAGCGTTAAATTCATTCCTATGTTAACAACATGGAAAATGAGTTACCTTTGCTACCACACGTCCCAAAAAGAAAAAATGTTCTGAATATGAATCTGGATACAGCTGAATTGATGATGGATTAGGATACAATAACCTGAATAGAGCTTCTTTTAAGGGTAAGTTAGGAGATAGCTTCTTAAAAACGTTGCACAATAGATCAAGGTTAAGCGCACCTATCATGCGTATACTTGAAAAAACCTCGGTCTGGATCAAACCCTGTCCGGATCAACTCAGTAAGAAATTCTCTAAACTCAAATTTCTCATAATGACACATTAGAATAACTGCGATGGATATTAAGAAGTCATTAAATATTTCTATGACTGCGAAAGAAGGTCACATCGATCTTGTATCAATAAAGGATCAAATATACGTTTTCAACTAAGGAATGCAATAGCTTAGTAAGTTCAATGATAGGTAAACGAGAATTAAAGAAAATCGCCAGGATGCTTCTCCACCTGTACTTCCTGTCGTTCCGTTGATCGTTGAGTGACTCGAACGAACGCCAGCAAATCTTCCATTTTTCCCTGTCGCGTGCAAGAGTAGTCCAGTGGGTTCTGCTCGCTCTAGAGCCTCGTTCAGCATCATATCTTTCTTCTACGGTTTCAGTGAGGAATTCTGATTCGGTAGTGCTGTGTGTTTGACATGCCAAGAAATCCACTAACAGCGTCGAAGTAGATATCACCTTCGAATCCCTTTCCGCACTTGTACGATACGGGATACTCCTAGCATCGAACTCTCGACTTCACCTTTTATAACGCTGAGCGATCATTCATTCTACTTACGTAGCTATCACGTTCAATATACGCTAAGGCAGGACGCCTCGTGCAGTCGAAAACGTGGGCACAAGGTCTGTTGTTTTTTTTTCTCTTTACTATATCCTTGATGCTCTTGAAAGCTCTCCAAGCCACTCGCTTCCACCTGCTCAATTCTGGAGCTAAATCGTTCATCATGTTAATTTCCCAAACTATATAGAAGTAACGGGAGTATTCGGAGCTATTCGTATCGTTGAGCGTGAATGGAGCATAAGAAACCAATCTGTTCCTTATGAACATCGTTTTTCTGAGATTTGACCTTTCCACAGATCTTATCAAAGTCGACAAACATTCCTTTCGCAAGACTCATGCTTAATAGTATAAGGACGATGCGATCAGCAAACAGACGATACTGTACCATTGTTTCTCACTTCCGTATTGTACCATTCCAATGTTTGCATGACGTTCTCGACGTTCTCGAGGGTGACCATAATACTTCTTGCGAAATAGTATCGTCTTACCTATTCCCTCTATCGATGCCGATGTTAACATCGTTGTAGAATGGTGAAATGCTGGTTGTGAAATCTGCACATAGCTCACGAAGACTCTTTAGGTAGAGACAGCTAAGATGCCCCCGAGTTCCATGACTGCTTCTATCTCGGTTGAGTCAAAAACACACTTTGAATCGATGAGAGACAGAGCGGTCTCATGTACTCTCGCGATATTTCAGTGAGTCTTCTGATTGCTCACTGATTTCCTTTGTTCAGTTCTGTCATTTCTGTTTAGAACAACTCGAGTGAAAAGTTTGTAGACGACAGACAGTAAGCAGATTTGACGATAACTGCTGAAATCGTGGTCACCTTTTTTGAAAAATAACACGGTCTTGCTCATATTTCATTGGAGACGAACGCTTAATTCTGATAGGCAACGTGTGAAAATCCGAGCCGGTGTGTTGATTAGGACTGGGGTAAGGTTTTCCAGATGTCTTATCCTTTCCCGCGCCTGGTGTTGTTCGATTCTCTAGCGACGAAAAAGCATGTCGTATTTCGGAAGAAAGAACTGGTGGGCGGCACATCCATCCTTTATTTCACACCAGAGCAGGAGGACGTGGGCACTGAATGGATCCAAGTAGTAAGTAATCTTAATGATTTTCTCTATTGCTTTCTGGACGCTATAACTGCTCCTTTTGGGATGCATTGATTGGGCCGTGGAATATAAACTAATTAGTAGTTGGTCGGGTTTGTCTTCCGTCCGCCAACTGTGGATGGAAAACTTGACTTTCTTGGTTTGCCACGCGGGACTTTTATGGTTATACCATTGCAATGACACCGAGCTCTCTACATTTAACTATAAGTAGAGAATTCTCTATCAACGATATCTTCCCAACAGCAGACTAGTGAACAAAATAAATCCCATTTTATGGTAGTTTTGGAATTTTTAATTTAGCGGCTTTATTTCCTTTCCGCGAGAAATGAAATCTAGCACGGAGGCGATGGTTTGCTCCTGTGTAGAATTTTGAAACACAGCGACATCGGTTAGGCAAAACTTTCGATTTACTATAATGTGGTCTATTTCGTTATGGTATTTTTCATTGGGAAACTCCCACCTCCAGTGTTGAGAGCGGGCTTCTGGAATTGCGAGTTACCATAAATGGTCTTTGTCGTTATGAAAAACTCAGACAGGCGCTCATCCTGCTTGTTCCACTATAATCTGTGGATCCGAAGGTGACGCTCTTCCGGGTCCAATCTTCGCGTTAAAATTTCCAACAATGACCTTGAAGAATTTATGGCCTCTCTGCAGAACTGTTCGAAGCCCACATAGAACGACTCGGCTTCGCCTTCGTTATAGCTTAATGCCGCTGTGTAAACGATGAAAATTGTCAAAGCCGGTATTGATCCATATCTCCTTAGTCGTAAACATTCGACTCGACTTTTTAGCTCGAACGAATCGATGTTCATGGCCAAACTCGTGTCAATGGAAAAGCTTCTCCGGTGCCATAGACGGCGTTGAACAGGTGGCGTCTTTAAGTCCCAGCCAGTCCGATAACGTTGTACCTCATGCTTCTTGCCTCCACGATAAAATCCGCTATTGAGGACTCAGATGCAAGTGTATGTGCATTTTAGGTACAGATGTCACCTTACTGCTTTACGATTTAGGCAGCATCCCAGAATAGCGCCGGGATCTTAGTAGCCTCTCCGTAGTAGTCCTATCCAACGCTCCTGGTGGCTCTTTTAAGGTTAGGGGAATGGGGCCCGCTTATTTTACTGCATGTAGCGTTGGGTTTTCACATATAGTTTGCTGAGCTCAGAACGTAGTAGCTGTGTATGCGCACGGGTCTTTGCCAGTCCCTCTCAGAGTAGACGGGAAGCTTATTTGTTGGAGCTGACACCTAACCGATTCCCACGTGCTTCCCTGTCTCTTCAACGATTTTGGGCAAATTAACTCATATAAGATCCGCACAAAAGAGAACACACAACCCACGCATGCAGGAAAACGTCCTCGCAATTACAGAAAGTATGTGCCGCATCGGCGTACGAGAAACAGGGAATCCACACCCTGGATCCACCTGCGTACCAGAGGAGCAAAGGTTGCTTTTGGTACGAGACCAGCCCCTTACCTGCCACGTCGCCTCGTGACTAATTGGTGTGAGATCTCTTTATGAGGGGAACCAACGCTGTTTAGCAATGATAAAGTGTGGTGAGAACTACACAAAAAATGATACCTGAAAATGCCTCCACCATCAATCCCAACTTCACTCAAACCAACCCAATTCGTCATCGAAACCCTAATGGGTAAACGGAGATTTGGAGCTATAAAATCACGGAAGTTATTTGCTTATTGAAGCATTGAATTTCGAAATAAAGTCTTTGTTGAGTGAATGTGAAGAATTTAATGTTTACACGAGCAGGCTTACCACTTCCCAAGGATAAACCTTTAAATGCATCTTCATACAAATGTTGGCGACGCACAGCCACATTGATAGCATGACGGCGAACGGAAACTCCTTCTGAAAAGTGAGTGAGAAATTCTCAGATGTTTCCACATTATAACGCAACAATTCGCAGTCATATTGAAAAAGAAATCAAGAATCAGAAATTAAAAACGTTGATAACCACTTTGTGTAAGCAACTCCAAATACGAATTCAACAAAAATTTTGAGGAAATATGAAACTTAAACATTTAAAACACACTTTTTGCCAGGTATAGCCATAAAGTTTTAACCTTTTATTTACTACCAATTCTGTTTTCATGGCAGCACAACAGGGATGCCCAGCTATAAGCAAAACTCGGAACATTATGTGGGTTTAGAACCCTCGATTACTCTTTCCGGTGTCAAGTGCTATCTACCACATAATCTAGTTGTCTTTCACATAGTATCTTGTCATGAAAAAAACAATAGGCCGCAAACAAAAAGTTAAGACATGATTTCGACTACACCTTCAGCCTAACTGGGTTCAATGCCGATTTGTGCTTTTCGAATCATTTCCGTTAATTGGTGATTGCTGACACCATCGACAGAGTAAAAACATGGCTAAGAGAAAAGCAAAGCAAGGAAATCGGTTGGTGCGGTGGATAGCACCTGAGTCTCCAGTAAAGATAATCACTGGTTCGAAACCCACCTAAAGTCCTGAGTTTTGCTCATATCTCAGCAGCCTTGTGACTGCAACTTCAAATTATTTATAAACAAAGAGTGTGCAAATTAAATTAGGATCTAATTCGGAAGATGTTGGGTACAGCCACAAGTTAAGCTCGTATTCCGAGTATTGTGAGAAATTAGTGCAGTTGTTAACAATGCAGTCAATCAGGATGTAAAGGCGGTAGTTCGACCCTGTCCCCAACGCTTTCCTCCCATCCGCGTTGGGAGGCTTTATTCAGGCTCCCTTCAAGATTGCAAGAAGAATCAACTCGACCAGCATTCCACAACATTCATAAAGAAGACGAAATCATCAGGTAGCAGCCGGAATAACAGGCAAAATGTTTGATGATCATTTTGAACGTGGATGTCAGGAAAAGAATCGAATGAAAGAAGTGCTGGATTCCACACAATAGTTGTGATGATGGATCATCACAATAAAAAAAACCAAAATATTAAGACCACGGAGATAAATGCTTGCAAAACCATACCGAAACTTTGAAACTCATCCACAATCCCATGAGATTCTCGATCATGTGCCAAAAGGTCTTGGAAAATCTGAACAATTCACGCTCATTTCTTTACTAGTTGGAGCAGCGAATATGCGAAATCAAAGTAACTCGCCTTGACTCGTTGCATAAATGGTACAACAAATGGAATAGATTTGATAATACTCAAATTTCGGAGATCGGCACTTGTTGCTGGCAAATCAGAGGAGGGTCCTGGTTCATCATCGTTCCCGCTACTGTCATCATCGCTAAATTGATTTCCTACTGCCAATTTATTTAAATTTGATCTGGATGAAACCCCCTGAACTATTTATTTGTACAATAATACAACAAATTTAGGCCTGGCTTCTCAACAACGCCTTTGTTCATTTGCTCTCTTTTAACTGCTCACTCTGCACACCAGGTTCGAGTTCTCGTGAGCTTCGAAGATCTCCCACATTTCCGAGTGTTTCCTTGGTTTAACACGTGTTCGCGATATCATCATTTTCGAATGGTTTTTTATTTTCCTTTAAAACTCTACGCCTTCTGGTCAGCACTGGCATTAGCGGCAAATATTAAAAGATTTCCGAAGTTATCGATAGCCGAACTCCTAGGAAAAGAAGAAACTATAAGCAAGTTAGAAAAAATGAACGAACCAGTGATCTCTTACTTTGATTTTAGAACACACCGATTACTTATCATATAGTACGAAACGTTTGAAATCTGAACCACACTCACTTAATAAGTGGTCTTCCATGAAGAAACCGTACAAAACTAAATGGCGTGAACACTCGCTGTGGGCCATCTGTACGGTTTGCTCGCCGACGAAGAGGAAGAAACGATCGTCGCGAGATCACAACCTGCCGAAACGTCAAAACCAATTTTATTAAATCTGACAGCCATCTGCAATAGTGATTCGACCAACTTGTCTTCGGTGGTTACTCCAGAAATCTAATGGCAGGAAATGAACGCGTGAATCTTTTGCATACAGTGACTGAAGTGTAGTAACGACCGTCTCGTAAAGACGTGACCACTAAACGACTATAAGTAAAACAAGCAAGATAAAGAAAAGTATAGCTCATTTAGGAGGGTGAAGGATATTTTTCCTCATCGAATCATTTGTTTCTAAGTCAACCTACTAGTCATATTTCACAATTCATACCTTGGACGCATCACGACTTCTTTCCTCTGCTGCTTTCGCTGTTACAAAGAAATCATCGGGAAATGCCAAATCGATCAAACCCAAACCAACATCTCTTAACAAAAAGAGACTCTTAGAATAACATATTTTCGAAGAAAAAAAACGTAATGTGCAACAACTATGAAAATCACATTGAAAACTTCTGCCCCAATTTAGCGATAAGACTGAACAGTCTTAGCAGAGAAGGTGGATGTTAACAGATTGAGCATCACAAGAAGAAAATGCACTGAGCCAAACCTGATCACCGTGATAATCTCGGTAAGCTTATCGCTATTAAATACAAGGTTTGGATGTCCTGAGACAAAATCGGCATCGTCAATGGAGCTGATGACGGCTACTAGACATCCACAAAATAAGGAAAGCGCATGGGTTAATCGATCTCGTGATTCATCGTCCAAAGGATGACCTAGAAGCATCCAATCCATTGGTTAGGAGAAAAAATATGATATCATAACTTCAGTAATGTATTAGTGCTCAACATATTCCCAATAAGGTCATGACGAAAAAAGGAATAAATTGTGGATATCACAAAGTCAACTTTCTATTTGCTGCCTATTCTTTTTTTCACGGCAGAGTATGATGCGAAGTACAACCACAACGATGCTAAGACATTCGCAAAATTTGGATTCGGGCCAGATCGAACCACGATTACCCTTTCTGGACGCTCGCGTATTACACATTGCACCACTGAGGCCGTTGCTTTGCGTTTCTCTCAACCAGTTTTACCTTTGTTTTTCATCTATTTCTCAAGTTTTGGGAACTTGTGGATAAATATATGCAAGAATAAAAGCGTAGGATACAGAATAAAATTAACACCGATTATTTCTTTCAAAAAACTACAAGGTTAAGTGCAAACCCATTTTGAGCAAATCAACATGATTGGAAGCACATCCGGAAGAGTCTCGAGATTCCAAGCCAACCAGTAATTGCCACAGCCTTAATCAGCAGCGATTTAGATAGAAAAGTAGTTGTTGCCTTGATTAACCAAATATGAACGAATTACAAACTTATTCATGCATGGATACGACGTCGCCAGTAACATCACGGTCTCCGAATTGAGAATTTGTTTACCGAAAGTAACCAAAGACCATATATTCTCATCGGTTGGAGAAAGTGCTGAAACAACAAGCTGGTTATTCTCAGCTGCCATGAAGTGATGTAAAGTTGGTTAGTCTAACACTTATAGGAAACAGAAACTGGGATTAACTGAATAACCTCCATGCCTGCAAAGAGACAAGAACGTTGGAGATTCGAAGGATGCATTAATAGAAGACATCATGAACGACTCCATCTTAACAGATTATAATTGGTAAACGACGGAAGATTTTAGACCTATGAGATAAACTTGAATGCCCACTATGGAATAAAATTCTCCGCTAGATATAATTAATCTGCAGATTAGATGGAGCAAATTACCTCTTTTTCATGTGAAATGCACTCGCTCTCATTATTCCCACGTTTGTAGCCAGCACATGTTGACAAAAGTAAAGACCTGTCCTCATCGCAAGCTGAAACGTAAACATCTCATGACTATAGCATATACGTAAGTTAATTTTATCATTTTATTTTACTCCATACGACCCGTCTTCAAGTGTACTGTGCGGATCCCAGCGTTTCTCACGTTCGATTCGTTTCCTCGCATCCATCATTCAAGGAAGTCTTACAACTTTTACGTGTGGGTTCTTCGGCTGTTGCTTGACGCTTTTCATTTTATCTTGAATGCCGTAGAATGCATGTCGAGTCCATTCCCACTGAAGTCCTGTGATAGCTGGGCTAGAGCGCTCCTAACCTAACTGCACAGAGTGATCTTTTGCGCAACAAGTTCGATACCAATTTCTCGACACCAGATGAGGCTTGGTGAACCTGGAACGGCAGCGAACCACTACTGCGCTTGTTATGATCGGCATCACTACCACCTGCACTATCCACCCCTACTATACTAGTTACTTAGGCATCGTAACTACTATAGTATACAAGTTATTAACAGTTTAACAATTTCACTGGTAACGACTACGTGTACGCACTATCGCACTGCTTGAAAACATCCAGAAGGATGCTTAGGAAATACATAGACATGATTCCTGTTGGCAACGTTTTTTCGGAAGGATAGGTTCCAAATGCATTCAGCGCTTCACGTAGTGAAAATCTGTAACACGAAAGCATTACACAAGAAGATCGAACACCAAAACCTACTATTGAACCATATTCAAAAAAACGTCATTACGAATTGGTAGAGGATTGCACTTCTACTTTAAAAAATTTCAGGCGTACAGAGAGTTCGTAAAGTTATAAAATGACAATGAACCCACAGAGAATTACATAAGCAACGAAAGAAAAAGGGTATCACCAGCAAGACCATTGAAACTGTGTCTTTGCTGATGCAAATTGATCTCATCAGGCATCGCAGTGTAAACTCCCTAGAATTATTTCGTATGTTCAATGATTTCTTTATTTTAAACGCAATTTTTCTGCGGAAAGCGTTGATACATACCTTTCCTGGCCCGCTGTTTTAGCAATGGGATGCATCAACAGTTCACAAAGCAACTCAATTCGTGGTGACAATCGACACTGCAGTGCAAGTGGTGCTCCATGTTCACGATCAGGTGCGAGTTTCACGATTAATTTCAGTATACATTCAAAATATCCTGCCTAGAGATAAGCTTAATTCTTTCATGTTTTACTCCACTTCAAATTCTTGATAAACAAAGACTTAACAAGAAATATAAGAGTTTGGTTCCAAGATCCACAGATGAGACCCCGTTTCAGTTTCAGCGATATGCAAAAGTACAGAAAATGGTGCGACTCATACAGCAGTTTAAATTCATGGAATGTTGCTCAAGCACGTGTTCTGAGTTCAACTTGCGCCTGTGTCAATTTAGATTATTCAGCAGAAGTATGCGCTTTATACATCTGCACACGTGACATACTTAGTGTTCTGTGACTAGGAAGGGACTATGTTTTCAAAGAAGTGAGTTTATCAATTTTTTAAAGGCTCAAAAGGGATAACCAAGTCACTGTACTACAAGTTCCGCTAAAGTCAATAATAGAAGCACTATCTAACTGCTCTAAGCAAAATTTGCAAAAGGAAAGTGAGCGAAGCAACGACAGACCTTGGCTAGAAAGACGGAATCTTGAGCCGCTATAAAAGTCTCCAAAAACCTAAAAGTCATCCAAGATACATGGCGAGAAACATAGCAATTATCAAGTAACTATCATTACCTAATTGGCATCACAAAATTCGTATCTTTGTCGGAATGTGACAGGTATTTGAACAAACATTTATAGAAAACCATTCGTCGTTGTGGTGCTATTACCTCTCCTTCTTCTTTATGAACACGGAATAATCCAAGTGCTACCGAGCAAAGTGTGACCTAAAACCGAAAACATAGACGTATTATTATGACTGTTTCAAGCGGAAATGGTGACAAAAGGTTCTGATCAGCACATCTGTGTTTAACAATATAAACAATACAACACAACAACACTATAAATAACTGCTTGTTTTCACGAATTATTCCTTTGCGTAGGTCCTCCATTTCAAGCATGATAGATTTTGTGGGTAACCAGCATTCTTCAACCCATACTTACCCATTTTTTCTATTCCATTTTCCATCTGGGCGCGCGTGGCGCAGTAATTGGAGGCGCCACTGTGGCACACGTGTGAAATCGATCCCCTCGCCCACGGCCCACCAAGCCTTCCATTCTTCTGGGGCCATCAAATTGGTACCTTACTTGCCTGGGAGGATAGTAGCATTGGCTCGATATATCGGTAGGCTACCGTGAGTCATTTTAAAGGCCTGATATGCACTCACTCACCTCCAACGATAAACGATAGAAGTCGAATGCATGGCGCATCCCTAGAGATCGATCACCACCGAGTTTTACACCTTATCTTTCATCTACTATCCTTATTGCGTACTAATCTTCCCATACCTCATCCTGAGTATTCTATGCTGCATACAGATCATATCAAAATGAGAAATGTAGTAGGTCCAAACTAGGAAAGGTGGTCTGATACTGAATTATCAGATGTAATTCAGAATGGTCTCTGAAGCTGAGAAGGAGCCTGGTGTTTCCATCAGTAAGCCCAGCTAAGAATAAACCAATACCAAGATCTACCACCATCCTGGTATCAAACTAGTCGCATGGTGGTAAATCTCCCTCTGATTCACAAAGGCGGCGACTGCCTGTGGTGGTGGCAACCTGAGGCAGACTTTAGCCGGCTGACCTCGGGACTCTAAGAAACCACAACGGCTAAACCAGAAAAACTCCGAGAAGATGGAAATTATGCTGGAGCCAGCACAACCAGTGAGGACGTACCATCCAAGTAGACAAGTAAGCAAGTATTTCAGAGTGGTTTACATACAAGTTTTGAGCTTGATGCGCAATGGTTGCGGTTTCAGCTCATTTGCATGGTAATACACTAGCAGAACTGGCGAATCGAAAAGAGGACCTCGCATATCCAGGAAAAAAAATCTAAACCTCCTGATTCGTTCCCTACCATATCACGTGTCTTTCAAGAACCTTATATACAGCCTTTTACCAAACAATAAAACTCACCAATCGGCTGTCATCGATTGGATGATGATAAAAAACATTCATTCGCGTGATTTGAAGGTTCAGAGCCTGAAAAAAAACTGGAACCACAGGAAATTAATAAAGTAAATATGATCTACCAATTAGTCATTCAGCCAGGTACCTACTGAAGTAATAAGGAGGAAGTATGGCGTACAATAGTGAGAAGCTGTATATTAGAGGAAAACATCGTTAACACACTGCACATAATGTCAGTAACCAACTCGTAGATTATAAATGATTTTGTAAGTATGTTCCATCGGGAAACCAAACTATGAGTAAACCAGTTCCAGCATTCACCACCGTCCTGGTAGCAAACTAGTCGCATGATGGCAAATCTCCCTCTGATCCACAAGGGGGCCGACTGTTTGTGCTGGTGACGAGCTGGGGCAGACTTTGGCCTGGTTGACCTCGGGACTCCGAGGAACCACAATGGCTAAACCAACAAAACTCTGAAAAAATGGAAGTTGTGCTGGGGTCCGTACAACCAGCGAAGATAGGCCAGACAAGTATGCAAGCAAGTATTACTATTATTACTATTACTAATTATTACTGCATAACCCGACATAACATGTGGTGGTGAATATGGTGAATATTCCAGCACTTCTTACACCCGGTTCATTTTCTCCTTCCACTATCGCTTTTCCGTTTGCGTCTGGGGACTGCTCGAGAACTTCTTCTTCGTGACGAATGTAGTTGAACGCTCGTAGAATCAATTCTTTCTGGAAACCTGAGAGCCGTGTTAGAGTGCCCTTACGTAGAGTAGAGAGATTCCGCTTGCCCTAGACAAGTCATTTAACTTTACAAGTTCAGAGAGATGAGAGGCCGGTGCGCTCAAGCCAGGATAGAACTTGGGTAGGTTTGGTCGACCGTGTAGTGAACCAGATCACAACTGCGCTATCCGATCCCTATGTATGAAAACAACTACCGAACCCAAAATGAAGAAAAAACGGCGCAACAGCTAAGAAAATAACTTATAATACCTCTTTAGTAGCTGGTCTCCCAATCGCGTCGAAATCTTCACGAAACTTTTGAGCAACATGTATACGAGCCCTATGAGCTCGCCAACTTCTCTGGATAACAACAGCGGCTTTCTGTTGTTTCTGATCTAAAATATGGAAGTTACAACCTATTATTAAAACCGCAAATGACAGGATATAATCACAATTGCCTTAGTAAAAAAAGGGATTAAACAAGGCGCATATTACTGTGATGTTCTCACAACAAACTATCTTCTTCGACTAGGTGGTACTAATCTCATAACAGAACTCTTTTCAATGGCAGCAGTTCAAGAGAAAAAGAATCAAAAACCAAGACCAAAATGGTGCAATACATTACTGTGAACGAAAAAGCAAAGAACTACTCTACAAGTGAAAAAATCTTGCCTCAAATGAAAGCGAAATTAGAACCAAATAACGAGCCTTACCTTTTGCACGTGCTTTTCGTTGTGCTTCAAGATCACGAAGAAACCTCTCTCGATCATTCTGGAAGATAAAACAGTAGATGGAGATCTCAATATACTAACTCGTTTGGCCGTATTATAGTTATTACTATGAAGTCATTTACACTCACAATTGTGTTCAGAAGAGCTTCTTGTTTCTTGTTCCTTTTTATGGAGCCATCAAAATCTACAAGATTTAAGAACGACATCCGTGAATTCGGTTAAATCGCTGAAAACAATCATATTCTAGCCTTATATGGCAAATGCTTTACTTTACAAAGCTCGTGAACCCACAGTGATCCCTAAATCACTAAAACCATACATCAGTTAATTGCAGTAAAAGTCAACACTATCTCAACAGTTATAAATAAAACTGACAACCCTTGGTAATGCACACCGCCACTGAAGCGATCTTTGACGACGGTTTATGAACTAACATAGCTTGCGAGCTCCACAATACATCCGTGATGATACGCATGGATTTCTGAACTTTCCTTCCAGGCCGTTTTCCTCCCAACAACTTTCTCTTCCCCTGTCTTCTGTAATGAACCGATAGTCCTCATAACAGGTATGCACTACCCGCCGTTGCCTAAGAAAAATATTCCCGAACGCGTTTAACAGCGTTTACTGTGAGTTTACTTGGCTTCATAAGAATCGTGATGATTCCTCCTCGTTTACTGTGCCGGTCCTAAGACCTCGGAGATACCAACATAGATAGAAGGTAGAATAAAGAGATCTTAACGTAGAAAAGTTGCTGAGAGTGATACCTGTGATGTGTTTGAGATAGCATCCTGAAAGTTTCCCATGGGCATCCAGGAAGACGCTGCATTTAGTAATAACGTAAACGACGAAAGCCGTGAATTAGAACTACGTTCTAGACGAACACAACAAAATCTGGTATAGACCGTCAGACAATCATATAGGAAAAGGAGCAATTGCTAGACACTTCCGAAGATTTTGGGAACTACTGGACCTCTGCTCATATTCTGCAGCACTGCCGAACAAACGGAAACTTGCCTTCAACAAACCTGCAAGCTTTTCAAAAAGATTTTTGGGCCTCCTTCTGAGTCATATGAAAAGTGGCCGCCAACTACGTTCCGTACGGAATTTTCTAACTACAAATCAGCTTCCGTATGAATCCTGAAACAATAACTATTAAATTCAGAAGATAACAGCCGTTCTGTTGCTTATTCACGACTCTTCATGACCACATGAACCACACCTTGGTCCTTTCTTTAAGTAAAAACCATATATGCACGGATGCGTCGACATATAGCAACCTAGTAACATAATTAGTACAAAAACATACTGCGCAAAAATCATTAACACAACAAAGCCATGAAATAGTTTGAATATGCAAGTGGCAATCAACCTACTGTTCTCTCTTAGAAAACAAATTAAGTACAACTTTACTCAATTCCCGTGCAATAAATACGTCCAGCATTTCCTTACAGATGGTTAGACCAGCACGTTCTCTTCAATGCGAACATAAACTAACAAATAACTGATACAGAATGAAAGAACAAACATCATTTGCCTAAAAGTCATACACTCGTAAACAATATCCCTATTCTTCCTCACTTTTCTCGTCGCTGTCTTGTTGTAACCAGTCTACAATGGGCTTCATTAGTAGCCTTACTTCAGACGCCTGTAATGAACGATATTCTTGTCAAAATTTTCAAAAGTAACGATAGAAGGAAGCTCGCAAGAAAGACGTTCAAAGTCATCCTACAAAAAAGATGTTAAACTGCTAAGAAGACAAATAAGAAAAAACTAACTTCGTCGAGAGAATTCACCCATTCCAAAATGGACTCCTCTTCCAGAATATCCAAGTCATTGAACAAAAAATGCACCAGTCGCGGCACAATTGGACGGAACACGACCGAATTACCCTTGAAGCGATCCTGAAAAGTACACCAAGAATTACCATACTTTTTGTTTTCAGTCGATAAATTGCTCAAAACAAGTGTTCTACCCACCACCGCTGTCCGAGAAAAGCTTTACTCTGCACTTTATAATATGTAGAGAATCCTTCCGTATTCATCCGGTAGTTTATCTAACACGATGCTGTACCAAGCGTAATAAGAGGAAAGCTTTATTTATTCCACGCTTTGGAACACACAGAAGAAACTTCCTGGCCGAGGAAAAAGTCTCCGTTCCTAACGAATAATGTGCAGAGATACCACATATGAGAAGTGTATGAAGATGTCTCTGCCTTCCACGACCATTAGTTACTTGTCGTGGTTAAGAGTAGCACAAAAACTGTTGGTTACAGCTGGTGCGTCGGCAAGTACAACAGACTGTACGAATCACATAGGATTAGGATAGGAGAACACAAAATCAGGAGTGTGCCATTGTGGCGAACTTCAACTTACGTCATATTGAGCATAATCACACGATTCAGCTTGTTAAATTAGACGAGAATAAAGACCGATCAGCAAAATCTACATAGGCAATTGAAAACAAGCAGAAAACTGGTGATTCGTAGTTGCTAGCTTTGGCAACTTTTCAAGCAAACCACATCGCCCTATTATCCAACTACAAAAAAATGAGAAAGAAGTAATGCAAACTATGAGAAACTCTGAGCCACCCATTGCACGACATCGAGAAATACTAAAGATAAGGTAAAAGACAAATGACCAATTCTTTACAATTTTCAACCTCTGCATAGAAAAATGAGCATCACCTGGTTGAACCAACGACTTCTCTTTTCAAGAGATCCGAGTAGGTTAGTTGTGCGAGATGGAGTGTATATAGGTGATGAACGGACAGTTAAAAAGGATTAATGATAAATCCTTGATCAATCCCTGAGGGATGCGCCATGCATTCGACTTCATCAAGTATCGCTGGAGGTGATTAGATGCATATCTTGCCTTTACAATGACTCGCGGTGGTCTACCGATGTATTGAGCCAATGCTGCTATCCTCCCAGACGAGTTTGGCACAAACTTGCCGATCCCGGACGGATGGAAGGCTTGGCGAACCTGGCGCGAGGGAATGGAGCCTATGTACATTGCAGGGCGCCTTCCACCACTGCACCACATGCACCCACTATAGGCAGTTAAACAAAGGTTAAAAGTGGCCATAGATTTTGCTTGACACACAAGTAGACTCCACAGTTGACTTCATAGCTACCACGCTAGATTAAAATATGCCTTCGACATGAAAGTAAGCATTACAAGTCAGCAAATGTGGTTGCGAATGCGCGAATAAATCTACACATCTTCAATTTGTCCAAAGTTAGCAAACAAGAGAATGGAAAGTATTATAAAAGTAGTCTTGAGTCGTCAACAAAAATAAAAATCCAAGTCAACCACTGGTTAACCTCGCATCGAAAAGATTAAAAATGGGTTCAAACGAAAATTGTGACGTTGTTGTACACTACGAACCTGGTGCGTTATGTTGCGCCAAACACACGGAATCGTCATTGGTGTCTACTCGAACTATCGATGATTAAGAGAATTACAAGTAATAAGCGAAAAGCTGATCTGGAAACATCCACGTTTACCTCAACAGCTAGAAGAAGTTGAATTTGACTCTTCTTAGGCTTGTAGTAATTCTGAAGCAAAAGGATCCACTTCTGACAAAGCTGTAAATAAAAATTAGTGAATGTATGGGAAAGAAAATAAACCGTCCGAACCTAGAAGTTACAATGTAAGAAAGTCATTGAATAACCTCTTTCAGTTTTATCCACGAGTCATTTCCTGGAAGGCCAAGAAAGGCGAAAAAGACATATTTAGCTACGTCCTCCATTGATATATTGTACGCAAGTTTCGAGGAGTTGATTTCCAGTATTAAATTATGCATCTAAACAGTAAAACTGTTTTGAAGCGATGAACACAAGTTCATATCACCGAAGTTTTTGTGGAGGCACAAAACCAATTTCGCATCATTTAACTTTTCGAAAAAAAAAAACAACGCTATTGTTCACCGATAGCGAAGACATTAAACATTTAGTACCTTAGAGTCCAAATAATTGATTACGACAACTACTAAAACAAACCTGCTGATTGCTAAAGGTGAAACCTTGTATTCGTTCCATACTTTCGGCTACTTCTTCGTAGAACTGGGCAGTGGCATTCAACTCGGCTGGGTCGCCTCCTTCACTCTCAGTACCATTTTCTATGTCCTAGGACACACTTTTAAACAAAAAAAAGCAAAAAGAACAAGCAAAGAAAACCAAAACTACTGCTTTATTTAATACTCAACACTTACATTCTCTTCGCTCATACTACCATTTCCTGAGTCACACCTTTCATTTAAACACCAGAAGGATCCACCATTAGCGAAAGACCAAATGTGAACACCTTAATAAAAATTTTTGAAATATAGACAGTTCACTTCCCAGTATGAGAATAGGTTCATCTGAATGCCGAACTACACAGTAAAAGCAGCCATGGTATTAACACCATGGAAAGATCGCGCAAACTACACAGGTACGTAGCAGTAACACATTTCGATATGGGAGCCAGGGAAGAACCAAGATTAAGCACCGACTCTAGAATAAATCTAGTGGTAAGGTGGTAAATTTCTCTACAAACTGTAATGGCCGGTGACTGCTGGTGGCCACAACCTAGTGAAGTTTTGGCATGACTATCGGAAGACAGACAAGATAACCGGTCCACGAGTTTTACAGTACGAAAATGCTGTCCCAGAATAGAAAATTAAATAAAATTCTAATTTCCACCCGATTTATTTGCTTGCTTCGTCCACCAAGTTGTTTACGAAGGTTATCGCGCAAGTCGCTGATTTTAAGTGAATCTCAAACAATCAAAAAACAGAACTCCAAGGGCATTCTATCGGCGCTTATTCAAAAAATAGTGGACTTCCTTTAAATAAGAACTCTGGTCCAATGTTATCGCAGGTGCACCAGGAAAACACATTTATTTGACCCACTATAATCACTAAAGGGAAAAACAATAGGAACAAGAACATTGACGTAAAATCCAAATCAAACATTCGTTTTGTAGATTGATCATCATCTTCACGTCTTGCAGAACTATCAGCGAAACAGAGACGGCCAAATAACCCAAGCGGTCTGGTTACCGAGAAGAGCTTTTGCTTGAACCAAGGCGATGAGTGAACATGGTGAAAGAAACGGAAATTGCATTGAAGAAAGAGAACAACATAGTTCGCTTTATCGTCCCTCAAAGAATCTACCGACCAACTGACTTCACATTTACTTTCCATATTTAGCAACTCTTCTAGTCTCTTGTTTTGCCTTTTTCTCAGCCATGTTTTCACTCTATCGGTGCTATCGGGAATCACCCGTCAACGGAAATGATCTTTGAAGCGCACCTTGGCAATGAACCCATCTAAGCTAAAGTTCCAGTCGAAATCACAAGTGTTCCAACTTTTTATTTACCGGCCATTCTTTTTTCATCACACGGTACGAAGTGAAGTACAACCATTGGGATACAATACAATCTCAGTTGGTGTGATGAATAGCACAGCAGCCCACGGCAAGAGTAAACAAAGATTCGAAGGTCACTCGAGGTTACGAGTTTGGCTCATATCGTCGCTTTTCGAAAGTTGTATTTGACATCGTATCTTGCCATGAAAAAAGAGTAAGCAGTATATGAAAAACTAAAGCATTCCAAGTTGTTTAGCGTAATGCAGCAAATACTATTGACTCTCGACTAGGTGCAACACATATGAAATGACACTGGAATATAACCAACTTCAATACAACGTCAAGCCAACTTTCGCTGTTCAGATCATCAACGAATAAATCGTCGCCGAGATATAAAGAACATCCATATTTATACTGGAAAATGTAGCTCAACCATACGCTGAGAAACGTTTGAGATCAAAGAGAAGAGCAGTACAGTAGATCGCAAAGGATTCGACAACGAAATTAACGAATTGAAAAGAAGTAGAGCATGTGCAGCGCGCAAGACTTTTGACAGAAAGGCCATCGACGTAACACAGAAACACGTAAAAAGATAAAAAATATAACAGTAGGAAAGAAATCCTTATCCAAGACGAAAAAAAATATGTTCAAAAAAGTGGAAAAAAAACCAGCCTTCAACCAGCTTGTACTTTATCATCTCCTCAAAATCTTCGTTCGGTGGTTCGGCACACACAACGCTATTCGGGGGAATATCGAAGTCTGGTGGATAGAAAACCTAAAAATTTCGTGTTTCTAAAAGAATAATGGTATTTACTCCATGGATTCCTTGAACTCAGCGACTTACGATAAGTAAACCACATGGCTAAATGACATGTTTTCACATGATCACCATAGAAAAATGAAGACTAAATGAAATGAATCTCTGCCTATAACAAAACGAAGACACCTCAAAGAAGTAAACTCTGTTTTACTAAGTGTTGATCAATCCCCAAGGGATGCACCATGCATACCACTTCAGTAAGCATTGTTAGAGGTGATTGAATGTATGTCTGGCCTTTACAATGACTCGCAGTGGCCTATCGATGTTTCAAGACACTGCTGCTGTCCTCCCAGATAAGTCTTGTGCCAATTTGCCGACTCCGCATGGATGGAAGGCTTGGTGAACCTGAGGCGCAGGGATCGATCCTATGTGTTGAAAGGCGCTCCACCAATGCGCTACATGCACCCCCGCTAGCTTATTACCTCAGAAAATATTCTGGTAATGTAATTGCAGAATAGTGTACTCAGAAGCGCTTATTCCAATAAGCCAAAAACGAATAGGGAAAGTTCGGAAGCAGCCTAAATAGTTCTTCGGTCATTCACGGCAAAACTATGGAGTTCTAAGTTATTTCTGTGAGATAGCATAACGTTGTAATTGTATTTCGCTTAGTATCCTGCCGTGAAAAATGTAGTAAGCAAAAAATAAAGGTAAAACATTATGGAGTTCTAAGTTATTTCTGTGAGATAGCACATTAAAACTTCCCCTCTATAGTTATCGGCACACACCAATCTCATGTATTTCACTCTAACAGACTTCGTAACAATATCTGCCCCATGATAATGAATTTCTCATGACACACCTCAGAAGAAATTACTGATTGCTTCTGTAGATTCGTTCCATCAGGTATATGAACACCATTTCCAAGAACCGCATCCACGATTCGACAATCTGCCCCAATCACACACTTTTCACCTATTATGCAATTCACAAGAAGAGAATTTGGACCTAAATAACATCTCATTAGGTGTACTAAGAAACTAGGAACTTAAGGAAGGAGAATGAAATACAGAGAACACACCGATATGTGTGTCGTTACCAATTGTTGCACAATTAGTCGTGACTGTGTCGTCAATCTTACAACGTAATCCAAACGTTGTGTTGAACGCTCGTTTGGGGACGCTAAAAATGAAATGAACAGAACTCAAAGTCACTTTTGCAGGGTTGTGATGAATTAGAGGAGGGCAAACCTTCCCGCTGGTAATAGTCTTCCAAATTCCTGTTCACTAACGGCCACGTAAACATTTCCTGACAAAGCGCTGAAACCCAAGCAGTGACTAGAGAACTGAAAAGTTAGAATTTCAAGAAAACGAACACGAATTGAAATAACACCTCAGATAACGCTAGAATCCAACCATTCTATCAGGAACCAAGGGAAAAAACCATCTCTCCATAAGCAGTTTCGCGAGAAATAAGAGGGAGACGTAATCACTGAAATAATGTTAAGAACTCCCAAGCAAAACCTTATGAATAAAACGCAAATCCCTGAACGTAAAACTGCTTGACTCAATCAGAAATAGTGCGTATAAGAAAGAGTGAGTCCGTATAAGAAAGAGTGAATAATTTGAATTGAATAGAAAACAACTGAACCAACGTGACGCAAAACGCCGCTTCAAACGGGTCAAGTATTTCGACGTGAATATTTTGGAGTAGAATCTCCTCGTTGACTAGAATATCTCTTATGACGTCATCACGGTGTTGAAAATCAAAATTATCACTGAATTGTGCTGCTATATTCAGTGAGCACAGCGCAACACCACTATCCAGGATATCACGACGAATCACAGTATTGGAGATAAAGTCGGGCTAGAACGGTAATTGACAGAACATGTTTAGAGGGAAATAAAAGAATTCCTCATATTCTTGTTGAGCATACACGAGTTGTTACTTTATTTTTTATTTACGAACAAGCGACCTTTTCAGAGGATTTCGCCTTCCTCAGAGCCTTGAAGGGTTAAGTTGACTGCAATCTTCCCTGACAAAGCTTTCCATGCTCTGAGGAAGGCGAAATCAGCCGAAACGTCAGCTTTATCGTAATAAAGAGTAAAATAACACTTCGCATTTGCTGTGCACGAATATAAAAAAGTGTCCGATTACTCAAAATCAATTCGGTTTGAAACTCTGTCAAACCTTGTCTATATCCAATTGTGCAGGATCCTCCTTTCGATGGTAGATTCTGAGTTTCTTTGATGATGTTTCTATGCCAATAACAGCATTCTCCGCCGTCTTCAAGTCAGAGAAGATCAACGTCATCACATTATTTTTGTTTTCAATGCGACGCTCTCTAGAATAAAAGCGTCTTTAAATTGTCCGTAGCTCTAAAACTAAACGATTTACAGGGAGTTAAATACCGAAAAGCAGCTATTTGAGCTTGTAAAGTAGCCGATGTGAAAGTAGCTGGGTTTGAAAGCAGTAAAAAATCGCCTAAAAGTGAATGAGTAATTAACGAACAAAAAGGACAAAGTATAAAGTTCTCGGCGCCGATCAATTCTTGAGCAATGCGCTATGCATTCGACTTCAGCATCGTTGGAGGTGACTGGATGTATAACTGACCTTTACAATGACCCGCGGCGGTTCACCGATGTATCGATTCAATCATCTTATCCTCTCAAACTAGTCTGGTACCAATTTGTCAACCCCAGAGGGATGGAGGGCTTACTGGCCCAGGGGCGCGAGGGTCGATCTCAAGTGCGTGTCGCAAGACGGCCTCCGACCACTGCGCCACACGCGCCAATTAATGAATAGGGCAAGTAAATAAAAAAGTTAACAAGTAGGTGAAGAAGTAAGTGAGATAATAACATAGGTAAGTGGGTAAGTAAGTAAAGAACAGTAAGTAATGAATAAACAGCTGGTAAAGCCGAGAAAGAAAAAATTTTCAGAGACATCTAGAAAAAACATTATGAAAACATTGCTAGGTGTCCACTGCGTGACAGCATCCACTTACCCGTCAACAATCCTCGAGTGTCGAGTTCTCTCAGAGCGTCCCCAACACTGTTGGCATCTTTGCAAGATATCACGGAAAACGATTCAAAGCAATGGGACCACTCGCTGAAGAAAAAAGTGCGTTAAGTTCACAAGCCCCAAGCCCCAACACCAGTACAGTCACATCGTAAAGGTCAACGAACACTAGAAATAAAGACCGTAATGAAAGAAAACTGATACGAAAAACTTTGCGAGCTGACCTTTCTACTTTCTTCAGCAGGTCGCTGTTTTTCTTCGAAACAACCAGTAGAACCTTCCGTATCTCCGTGCGCATAATCCACGAGAGAGTATAGTAAATGAGAGGCACATTACAGATCGTCTGAAGACACTGAAATACGAAGCACATTCATTCTGACGAACTACAGTAACAGGGACAAATAAAGCCATCCTATCGAATAGAAAACTAAATTGTTAGAAAATAAGAACGCAAACATAATGGACTAAAGGTGGAAAATTGAAAAAAACCACTATGAAAAGGATTAAGGAAAAAAACCGGAGCACACAAGCCGAAGTTCTTATGAATAACAGAAGATACATACCCAAAGACCAACTGTGGCTAGAAGCGGAGCAAACCGTGCATCGTAAGAGTCGGCGACTATGACACAACTCAGAGGATCGTTATCCTTCTTCTGCTCTTTTTTATGAGACATCCAGAAGATCCTACAACAGATTCGTTGTGATCTGAATGCCTTTCCTATAAAGAGGCTATTTTCAAGTGATGCAAAATTTCTGAGCACTTTGTCGTTTCTACTGTACACTCTCGAAATACGCAGAGTCGCTACGGATCAGCCGCATGATTGACGACAACTCATGTTTGATATTCGTTGTCTGGATCGACTTCCCTTCGTTCTCACAGGGAATTGTAACCCTGAAAGATGAAAATACTAGCAGAATAGCTGAAATGGCATGGCTCCGGGTGCTCTGAGCCACTTTCATCTTCGACCCCAATTTTTCCAGGAAGATCCTTGCCGTGTTCTAAATACTCAACTCATTCAAGTACTTATTTTTCATCTGCAGATCCATCTATGACAAGCGAAACTGATCAAGAGATGTGTCATATAAACAAGGAATGAGCCTGAATAGCAAGTTTACCATTGGAAAAATATGGTGGGGGCAGGGGTTATGTTATGCACTTGGGAGGAGAATCATGCCTTCAAAGCTGGGGAAGTGTTTTGTTCCACTTGGATACCCAGGATAACCATACACGGCATTCGCGGATCGTAATCGGAAGCAACAGGAGAGTGTTCGTTGTAGAAGAGATTAACACTTTATAACCAGGTTGTCAGTAGGAGGTGGCATCATTTTATTCTTAGGTCTTTCTGACACGGTTCTACTTCTATCTCAGCTTCTGAATAGAAGTAAGGAACTGCTCCTTACTTCGGCTGGCCCCGCCAGAAGGTGGAAGCTGTGATATGCATTGCAGTTTAATCACATTTGAGGTCACACCCTCGTATTATTCACTGAGAAAATCAATTGTGATATGCTTCATTGTTAACAATACACTAAACTTTTGACAGTACCTACTCATGAATGCGTCGTTTTCTGTTTCAGCAATCGCGAGGTTGTTAAACAGCATAGGTTTACTTCCATGCAATAACATACATACAAAACAACCGAAACGTCAGTTACGATTGTATTGTATGTATGTTATTGCATGGAAGTAAACCTATGCTGTTTAACAACCTCGCGATTGCTGAGGCAGAAAACGACGAATATTGGGGGTATCTTATTTTACGGTATTGAGAAAAAGAATCTCTAGTTTTAAACTATGACGACGATCAAGGATACCAGAATGCGCCAGAAGCCATGTTGAAACTATGTGGGCCAGAGACGATGCCACAATGCCTTGTATCAGAATCAAATCCATGGACTACAGTCGAGGACTTCATGCCTTCTTTTTGTTCCGTCTTTTTTCAGTACTTTCGTTTGTATATGAAATGTACATGGTTGGTGCACTACCGATCCAAGTCATTCCTTTTATGAAATCGGAAAATGGGGTGCGTGTAGCGCAGGGGTTAGGGCGCCCTGCAATACACATGGTAACGATTCCCGCGCCCATGGCCCACGAAGTCCTTCAGCCCTTCGTGGTCGGAAAGTTCGTACCACACCTGTCAGAGAATATAGCAGGACTGACGTAATACAACCAAGAGCTACCACAAGTCATTGTATAGGGCAGACAACGACGTTTAATGAAGCCGAATGCATTGCTCTTCCCTCAGGGATTGATCAACGCCCAGAGCGTTATCCTTTTTATCGCTTACACAACAAAATGATCAATAGATTTTGCCCAGCTCAAATTGGTGACGTGTTTCTATGCAATTTTCTCATTCTTGAAAATATTTTGTGTTACTTACTTCTTCTCTTCAGTCACTGTCAAGCTCCGCATAAAAACCACTGCAATCTAGGTGTTCTTTTATACGGATACACAAAGGTCTGCCCGTTTCGCCAATATATTCGTCTCCGCAATTATTACAAGAGATCAGGTATATCGTACCTGAACTCATGCAATCACCTTCCCTGCCGTAAGGGCTAATTACGCAATTTGTTGTTTCACACAGACGGCCATACAGGCGGTTGCGAACTAATTGGCGACGTAGAGTAGCCAGTGGTATTTCGACTATCGCTACCGATTGCTCTAGACCTGCCCTTCTTAGGCATCGATTAATAGTTACGCTTATTTCATCGCTAATAAAAGGCAACATAAAGGGGACTTTCTTTTGGCCAAGTGTTTCGCGTGGGCGCGTCGCTCTCCTAATCTTATCTCGCGCGGTAACTATTTCATAGCCACAACGTTGCTGAGATATTTGCAAAACTCTGGACCGCAGGTGTCTATGGTGGGTTCTATGCCGATTTGGGCGCCCCAGATCAATCCCACTGACGGGTGATTGCTGTGGCAAAGATCGATAGAAATAGCTGAGAGACAGGCGAAACAAAGGACCCGCATGGTGTGGTGGTGAACGCGTTACTCCCCGGAAAGGACAATAGCGCGTTCGTTCCCCACCATGGACACCTGCGGTCCAGAGTTTTGCAAATATCTCAGCAACGTTGTGGTTGTAATTCTCTTAGTACCCTGCCGCGAAATTATAGTAGGCAGAAAATAAAAAGGTATAACATATTTCATAGCCATTGGAGATGGCTATTTGTCGAGCTAAGTAGTGCGATTCTTCCTTTAGTTCCCTGGTCGTACACTTAGAGGTGGCTGTTTTAAAAATGTTTCTCACAATCGCCCTTTTTGTGTGTGAAGGGTGGGAAGAAAGGAAATGTTACTGATGTTCTTGTTACTTGGCTTTCGATACCACTTTGTCAAGTAACCGCTACTTGATAGGTTTATTTGAACATTTAGAAACGGAAGCCACTTTTCTTTCGGCTTCTCGCTAGTGAACTTGATACACTCAGACTGCTCGTTCAATAATTCAAAGCATTTATCCATCTCCTTCTCCGTAGAGAAAACGACAAAACAGTCATCTACATATTTGCAGTAGAGTAGTGGCCGGAGGTCGAGAACAGGGGCTTCTATCTTAGACATAAACAGGCAAGACTTGGTGCCAGTCGATGTCCCCTTGCCAACCCCCTTATTTTCGCGAAATATTTCCCAGACCATCTGAAAATCGAGCAGTTTAGGCACCTCTTCAAGAGAGCCATTAGCTACTGGATGGAGAAGCCATGCATATTTATTCTTCCTTCATGTTCAACAAGAAGTTCGAAGATGGCTTTTTAAAAACCCGCAGCCTTTGCCACGCTGACCCATTGATTGTTTAGCTTTCAGTATTGACTTTTATATTCCTTTTCAGAGGATGGGCGATAGAGGGTAGCATCACTGAGGTGTTCCTTTGTTACCTCAACATCCAGCTGGCGAGGAATAACTACGAACTCTCCCCTTTTATCACTAACAGGGAATCTTATTGTTTTCGAGTTTATTAATTCTCCAATTTCTCGCATGCCACATTTTTGTGCGGCTGTAAGGTTAGAGATAAACCTTCTATCGCGGTAGTGATTAAGAATTGTATACCCTAACGATGGAGTTGACATGAAGTTCCGCATGTTTTCGGACGGCGTTCTCAAGACCCTTATTCACTACTGCGGTAGAGAGTTTATATCAGTATACCCTTCCAGGCTCTGAAGAAGGCGATACTGCCGAAACGTCAGCTAGTCTTCTATTGTATTGTGTTTCTCTATGGAAGTAATTGTATGCTGTTTAAAAACCTCGCGATTGCTGAAGAAGAAAACGGCGCATTCATATTCCAATGCCGAGGTTAATAGAAAGTCGATCCTGGGAAGAATTGCTTGGTTTATAAACCTAATCCTCAACCAGTTGCTTAAGCACATACCAGCCCATCTCACGAACACCCAATTGTTCCTAGACCGTCTGCGCAACGCACGTCATCCGCGAGTTTTTTGAACAACACGAAGGAGCAATTAACATGTATGGCTTTTCGATTCAGCAGCTTATTGTCCTTCTATAGGTCTGTTTAAACTGCTCGATCTTCAGATGTCCGGGAAATATTATGCGCAAATTAGAGGGCTGGAAATGGGACAGTTATTGGCACCAATCCCTGCCGTTGCCTTTATGTCTAAAGTGGAAGCACCAGTAATTGATCTCATCACTCCACGATCACTCCACTGGGCGCGCATAGGGTGCGGGAACACAACGGAGAAGATTTTGAAGTAGGAGTCACTGTCCTCACGCACGAATCGAAAACATCAGAGCGTAAAACTCTTGAACCGCTTTGGATCAATTCCAAGAATTCACTACTCAATTCTTAATCACTACCGCGATAGAAGGTTTATCTCTAACCTTACAGCCGCACAAAAATGTGGCATGCGAGAAATTAGAGAATTAATAAACTCGAAAACAATAAGATTCCCTGTTAGTGATAAAAGGGGAGAGTTCGCAGTTATTCCTCGCCAGCTGGATTTTGAGGTAACAAAGGAACACCTCAGTGATGCTACCCTCTATCGCCCACACTTGAAAAGGAATATAAAAGTCAATACAGAAAGCTAAAGAATCAATGGGACAGTGTGACATCGTTATGGTCCTGCTGTCTAAAAAACGTTTTAGGGAAAGGAGATGGTGGTAGTGTCGCCGCCACTTGATTTTCTCATTTTGATGTCCTTGTTTAGCCTGATAGCGGAGTCGATCTTGAAGCTCACAAAGGTTGCATTCTATCCTACGCACGGCTGTTTTAGAAATGGGCTGTGGTGGTGCAAAACTTGGGCCGAATTCTAATAGCGAACGCGCACTCTCGGGTATTGTCATGCCCCTAATCACGGTGACCTTAGATTTTCTTGGTGCATTATCAACTCTGTTCTAACTATTATCAGAAACGTAAGGATTTGTTTGCGGTTGTTTCTTGAAGCTGAGAGATGTGAATTACTCAAAAGATTTTCGAATTTTCGTTATAAGGTTATTTTGGCATTGGACCCAATAAAATCGGATATCAATATTGACCCACCATCTATCCTCGTCCAAAGGCGATCCTCCATATACAAAGCACAAAAATGTTCCTTCGTTGCACACTTCTTCATTTTGGCAAACATCTCGTTTTACTTGCTTCGTAGTGCAGTTCGAAGTAGTTCCATTTCGATGCCTCATACTTGTTGGCTGTCCTCTGGTTAACCGCATATCTCGTGAAGTCGCTTTCATTTTATA